AACAAACCAATAACTATATCCCTCCGCAAGAATATCCCATGCACTTTTACATGGGTAAAACATGACTGAAGTTTGCTTTATCTGTGTATGGGTAGGTAAAGCCAGAATCTTTAGGACAACTAGATTAATGGGTTTTAAAGTTAAAATTACCTTCACTTTATGTAGCTTAGCACCCTATATCATATATTTGCCATAAACTACCATAATATTATATAACACTGATACTTGGGCTTACAAAATGTGAAACAATGTAGTGACACCAAGTGAGAATTTTAAGTCTGCTTACCATCTATTTTAATATTCCAGCTTCAAACCAGTGTAATACAATTTGGAAAAAAAAGCAAAAAAAAAAAAGGCCTTTAGAACCTTCCTCATACTAAAAACATCACTAATAGTTACTAAGTTACCTGCCAGACAATCCCTGAAAAGAGATACTAAAATCTTAAGATTACATGCAGAAAGTTACGTCAAGTGGACAGATCTCTGTCAAGAACCCTTAAACCTTTGTTACTGAAGTTTGTCAGTCTGAAAGAAAACACAAAGCCACTGCTGGTAAAGTTTGCAGTTGACATAACTGAAGTCATAAAAAATAATGAAGAGAACAACTGATCCACTGAAGTTCCATTTGTCTGGTAAGCCAAGCTATCTTGGGCAACATATTTCATCATAACAAAACTCAATGCCAGTCATCAAAGACCTGAGACTAACACCAAGGACTTACATGCGTAAATAAGGTTCACTGAAACTGGGTTCAAGCCTTGAGGGCCATACACTTAAGAGACTTCAAAAATCAGATAGGACATTCAACTGAATAGGCTCTTGTAGAAGCAACCCCTCAATAAAATAAACTACTCTCTCTGTATGGGCAAGGGACACAAATAGCAGAGAATTGGATTTCCACTGCACTCAGTGGCAATATTTTCTGTATTTTCTGTTCTCTTGTCTAAAAGCTGCTGGAAAAAATGAAAGATCATTAAAGAGTTCTGAGAATAACTCACAGTTTGGAAAGTTTGCTTTGAATTGAGAATATCTCTGAGCAAATATACATATATTTTAAAGCCACAGAAGTCTTACTTTAAGAGAGAGAGTTTTAGGATAAATGGATTGTGCTCATGCCCAGATTGTTCCTTTTCTCTGATTGGATCCTCATTCAGGATGAGCCATCACCAAACCTGATTGTTTAGTCAGACTACATCTGAAGCACACCATTTAGACACACATCCTAGCAGCACACCAGAACAAGATATAAATCATCTTTCCCAAAAGTCACTGGTAAAAAAAACATGAAATACCCTAATGATTTCTTAGTCACACAATTGGAAAACCAGGACTGCAGAGTGTCCTCAAGTACACTTGCCTTGCTTTAAATTACAACTCATTGACTTGTTACCAGGTTCAACATACCTCAACTTTCTGATCTGCTTATTTTAGGGCTCAGACACACAAACAAGATAATCTGGTAAACTGAGTCCCAGCTGCTGTCTGTGCATCTACTTGTAGCCACAACAAACAGCAGGTGCATCTACTTTAGCTTTTTAGCTTCATCAGGGTTACATTTTTTTAAGCAAGTTTCCCTATTATCCTGATTTATCATATGTTGCTTCATAACATGAAAACAAAAGTGCTTTCAGATTAAATCATAGGAGCAGATTTAGTACCTGCTACCTGGCAAGGAGTCTTCAGGTGACAGAATGAAACTAGAGCTAGTTTAAAGTAAAAACACCTCAGCACACACAGCATGAAGGCTGAGCACTAAGCATCAGCATTCTCTACAAACCCCCTTCTTTGCCCCACAGTAGCATAAGCACAGCCACTGTGTATGCCTCAATTTATTCATCTTCCCCTGGTTAAGAAACTGACTGAAGTTGCTGTGTGCTGCAAACATCCATGATTACTTCAGCCACAGCAGCAGCCCACAGATACCACCAATCAAGTTACTATCCTATGCTTTTTGCTCCCACATACCCATGCCTTTGGGATGTGATCTCTCAATAACGTATGCTAGCACCCAGGCCTTACTCATCTGCAGTTTCCAGGCCTTCCTGAGACTCTTTGGACAGACACCAGTCCCTTACTGAAGCAGCTTCTTGTAAATAGGTTCCTGATGAGAGACTGAGGAGTCCTGAACCAGCCCCCTGGCCTTTTGTCCAGAGAGCATCACTGCTGCTGCTTGTGTGGGCTTGTGCTGCACAGGTAGTTCCTGGCTGCTCTGTGGTGCTCAGATAACAGCACACATCGAGGATAAATTCTTCACAAAGGAACTTTCCTCTATGATTAACATCTCTGTGGATATGAGGAATTGCTCAGCACTTGATATTTTAAGCAGCAGGGGGCACTCCTGACAGTGGAGGATTATGGATATAGGAGTAATCTGGGAACAGAAAGAAATTACATACTTCAGGTAACTTGTCCAAGTAATCCAGCACTATCTGCACTTTCTAGCAACAGCGTTCTAAACAGCTGAATTGAGAGAATATTGTAACAAATGGGTCAGAATAACCTGAAGTCTTTATGTGCAACTATTTATATACAACATGTTAATACTGTCAAAAATTCAGGAGTCTAAAACTCCTTATGGGCAGAGCATGCACAGCATTGACTAAGTTTAGTATACACAGACAATGTTCAAATTTGGGAGGCATAGATGCCTTTGAGTGAGGCTGGGAGGAAGGCTGACATACAGTCACGAGAACCATTAATACCTACAGCATGTGCACTGTGATCCTGCAACGGCAAAATCATGTTAAAGGTTTGATTTATGTAGATAAACCTATCAGTATAATACTGAGAGGAATTTTGCTCTAATGTGCGTATGAACGGAAATGCTACCAGAGAGAGAAGGAATGGCCACTTATAGCAATATCTATCCTGGATGACCAGTCAAAGAAGGGGCCGAGTTTTTGTATGAAGGTCCAAATACCTCAAAACTGTGATCTTTCAATAATCCACAAGGCAGCAAAATGGACTGAGAGATCCTTTCAAGAACTTGAAAAGGAAATTCCATGCCCTTGTCTATTTAATTTGAATCATACCAAGGAGTCTGCTTAAAAAATTGTGAAACCGGTTGAAGTGTCTAGCAACTCATGTATACCAGTTAACATGATACATTTGTACTTCTGCTTTTTGACATAAATCCCTAAAGTTATGGAATGGGTAACAGTTTCTCTCCGGAGAGAGCTGTAATGGTAATCTATGACAGAACTGACTCTGAATTCTCAGACACTTAAGAAACAGAAACAAGTTTTCTTCTCACAATCTAGGTATCACATTATGCTATTTCAGAGTTCACGTGTTTGAAATGCTGTTTACATGTTTTTTGAAAAAGGGTCACTGGAAATTCTTTCTAACATCCATATCATTAAATATTTACATTCAGGCCTAAGATGTCTTGTAAAATTTTAATAGCATATCCTCCTATTTGAAAAAATAATAACAAAACCTCAACCCAAACCCTAGTTCATATATGAAGGAAAACATTCTTAATACTGTCTAAACTGTCATTTCTTCCCAAAGCACAAGGATATTTATGCTCTTGCCTTACGGGAGATAAACAGAGCAGCATACCACTCCATATTTGTAAATGTTAACTCTACAAGGCAGAAACTGGCTTCTGTACGCACCAGGCTTCTGTTTCTTCACTGCTCAAAAAGCCGTATGACATATAAGTATGTGTAAATTGAAACAACAAAGATATATGGTTGTGCCACAAAAAAACATGCAGTCTCAATATTTATTCCACATATCATCTTGACTCCAAGAAACTTCTCAAAATTGCCTCCAGAAATTCAACTTAAGTACCAACCCAGCTGTGTAATAGTATATCTGGGATAATTCCATGAGTCTGTGGGTCAGTTGCATCCTCAGATCTGGTGTAGATCAGAAGCAACTTTCCTAGATTCAGTGGGGATAAATCTGCTGCTGTAAGTGTGGCAGAATTATATTACTACTTTAAAAATTTTCAAGAAAATGCTCTGAGAATTAATAAGTATAATATATCAACCCAACTGAGTATCAAGTAAGGTAAAAGTACTCACACCAATATGTAGAAGACTGAGAGCAAATAACTCTAGAAAGGACCTTTTATTTGCATGTGTCATTCTAGAATAGACTCCTAAAAGCATCCTGGTTAACAGAACATACCTGTTTGCCAAATATGTGCTTTTAAAAAAGCAGTCAACTGTATGGCATACTTTGAGTTGTGATAGAGCTGTCTAGGTTTTGTAATACAAAGACTGTGTTATGTTACAACATGCTGCCAATGGAAAAAGAAGTGAAACAGCAAAAATCAGAGATGTGTAAGATTCTTGAAGTACTTAGTAGGGAAGGTTAAACCTTAACAGGAGTGTCTTAAGTTTAACATATCAGGGCACCTACTCAGATGGCTAAACATGGATTTAGGATCCCCTGTGATTCAGATGTTTATAGTCTGGCAACTAAACCTACAGTTGGGCATCTAAGGAGAAGTGTCCAGCATACCAAAAGTCTTTATACCTACAGCTCTAACAGCATGCAGATATTGTCATTCTGCCTAGAGGAGCCTTAGGTTCACTTATCTTCTAAAATCTTGGTAGATTTCAGCTCTAGTAGTCCTTCATTTTTGGAGAAACTAATGAGATTTTTTTGCATTTCTGCTAACTCTGATCAATTGACTGTTGTCCCAGACTTTTATGTCTCCCCATTAAACAAAAAAAACCACACACACACAAAAAAAACCAAACAAACGAACAAAAAAAAACCCAAAACCAAACATTCCAGCCTGTTTGATATCTAGCTCACAAGCTCAGTAAAGCAGAAAAGCAGTTTTGTATTTGTTATTACTGGACAGAACAGTATTTGGGACAGGACAAGTTATTAATTTGTAGCATTAGAAATTTGTTCATGATCAGTATTACTGATCGTTTTTCTTTTGTATGGACAAAAGTAAGTTGAGGAAATGGTTGCTGTTGTTTTCAAATGAACACTAATTGTGCAATTTGGAATTTGTTTTTGACTCACTGTAGGTTCGCAGCAAGAGCAAAGCAGCTAAGGCTGGACTTTGTGAGGGAGATGAGGTGGTGTCTATCAATGGCAAGCCTTGTGGAGACTTAACCTATGCTGAAGTTATCGTTCTGATGGAAAGCCTGACTGACGTCCTGCAGATGCTTATCAAGAGGTACAGGAATGCTCAGAATGCTTTGGTGCAATTCTGTTCAGTGAAGCACACGAAAATGGTTTTGAATGCACTCATTTTTTCAGACTTATACTGCAAGCTTCTGATGGTCCTCTTATTAATGCCTGTAACTCTGCTTGTCTGTATGGAAGAGAGAAGAAAGACAATTTGATCTGAAGGAACTACTGTATATAATTTGAACAGCACAGTTCAGGCACAGAATTTAGTGTACAGTCTCCAAATGTAAGGATTTTATTTTAGTATTAATATTTACGAGATGACCACTACCATATCTGCATACTAGAGAGTCTTAAGTTCAATTACTCTTTCCACCCCTTTGAAGCAGTGAAGTGTTGTTATTGTCCATAGATAGGGAAGTGAGGCTTACAAAAAGCAAAGCCTGTATAGATGGAGAAAGTGTGTTACACAGATATGCCTTGATGATGACATGGCAAATGGTCTTCTTGGGTGGCAAAATGTGTTAGTAGACAGGAGGGGGAGAGAGTCTGGAAATCATGAATTCTATTTCTGTAGTTGTTATCACTTTGCTAGATGAGGTGGGCAAGTCACAGCTCTCTGAGTCTCAACTCCATTTACAAACATTGATGTGTGAACTTCAGTTTTCTTTGAAAATGCTTCAAGCTTCTTAGAGAACCTTCCCATAAATTTGCAAGCAAGCCAGTATTACCGGTCATGGCACATCAGTCTATTCCAATGACTGGTTTGTAATTTGTCATCAGTGTCATATATGCAATCTTGAGTTCAGAATCACTTACAGTAAGCACATTCTTCCCAGACTTTGTGAATTCAGACAAGATGAACTCTGAATTACCTTCTGTGTTCAGGAAGAGGAAGAAGAGGAAGAAAATACCTGAGACTTCCACACTCTTTTTAAGGAATTATGGCTCTACCTTGAGCTACTGCAGTTTCCTGTGTCTGCTCTCTCATGGGCAGAACCAGGAGGAAAGAAGGGGTCACAATTTATCACAATAGCTAAGAGAGAAGTGTCACTGTAAAGGCTGAAAGCACTCTGGTGCAAAAAACCCACTTGTCTCTGGTTACCAGGGATGTCTTAACAGCACATGAAATTCCTCTGTGGTTTCTGCAGCCTGTGCACAGGACCTTTCCTCAAGTGTCTAGTAGTTCAAAATTACAATTCCGCCTCCAAACAAAGATGCTCTCAAAGAGTATTCGTTTTATTTATAACAGATATTTTGCATGGCCTGTCTGTGCACATTGGCTTGGGCTGGGTAATAGGATGAGATGAGGGGAACTGTGATAGCTGAGAATTACAGCTTACCTTCTCCATAGTGCATAGCGCTTGATTCTGGTTCAGCAGTGTATCATTTTAATGCTACTCATGATATTTCCATTCTTATGTTTTTAATTCATGACTACTTGAACTGCACTTGTAAAAATGGTATTTGTGGCTGACTAGCTGTCTTCTTTGCAGTCACAGAAATAGCTCCATATGCTCTGACTCCTGCTTGTTGCTGCTCTGTAACTGATATCTGAGTTGGTCTGAAGGCCACAGCTCTAGCTGAAAGTGACAGCACATCTTCCATTTATTCCATTGTCTCTGTCTGAATGTATGGTGAACAAGACACATCCTGAAAATCAGAACCAAAACAGACCACATAATTCACTGTTTCATGGAATAAAACTGTGTCTGTTAGAAATCTAAAGAAAACTGCTGTTGATCAGCATTCTGAAAGTAACTAAAATGTACTAAAGGAATTCACTGTGAAAATCTTTTAATTTCTCTCACTAGCTCATCTCCCCTAAATCCCAGCCCCTACTGGAAGTATCCTGCAGGGTATGAGAATAAACGGAAACATTTCTCTTTCCTTTCCACCTCCTTTGTGGATAGTAGCCCTCTCACTACCACTGGAAGGATTTTCCAGGAAGTGTCCTAGCATCCTTCAAGAGCAATAAGAAGCAGATCCTTCCTTTCCAGAGTAGCCACTTGTTAGCAGCCATCTCAAGAAAATGCTGGAAATCATGAGGCAAGAATTAATGCCTAATTAAAGTGGTGCTCCAGTGGTGATCTTTACATCCAAGCATCTTTTGCTGGCAGGGAAGAGTATTTCTCCTTGGGAAGCTTCCAACTGTTCCTGAACTATTTGCACCCATAAGATTTTCATAAGCATTCATTGTCAGCCTAATTCTCCTCTGACGAAGCTTACTGGGAGGAAAATTAGGCTTTTAAAGTATTTTTTACAATGCTACTTGGCCTTTGATGTCTACAAAAAAAATTCCCAATCCCCTGTAAACCACAGTCAGTTAGTAACCAGCAGTGCCCACAAAATCTTGGGCTCACAAGATAAGAGGAAAGAGACATCCTGCAGGGCAGGCACTCTCCAGATGCCATGTGGAGCATTCTACCAACCTTTTCGACAAATGTTGAACAGATGTGCTGAGAAACATCAAGAGTGAGGACAGAAACAGAAATGCTGGCCTGTCCTTTTCACATCAGTGGTAGCAACTCTTGGGCTACTGCTGAATCTAGAAAGTAAATGTCTAGGAGGAAGTAGGGAGTGTGCTCAGTTTATACCAAAATGAAATGCACCACACAGGGAGGAAAAAATGACTCTCAGACAAACCCGGCAGTGCTGACACCATTTATTCTTTTCTGAAACTACACCAGGGGTGTTCCTGCAGTGAGCTGGAAAGACCTGAAACAAAAAGAGTAATTTGATAAACCAGAATCTTAAATGAGAATAAAGAGATCAGACCCAGTATTCTGTCTCTTGACACATGGATACACATTGATATATAGAGTAGAAGTACATCCATAAGTAGTAAAGGCCTTTTAAGGTGGAAATCTTTGTGTCTCACACATACACATAATCACTCAGCTACCAATAAAGGCTAGATGTAGCTGGCCCAGCCCCAGATTTCATATCTTACAAGGAAATGTTTACAGATTTCTGTAATTTATCTGTACTTAGGAGCAGTACAGTTGATCATCCAAATAGCATAATACGATGGAATCCAGCAACACTCACAAGGAGCTCTCTAAATTAAAATCTGTCTGACCTTTATGTTTCATGGACTTTACACATTTTGTGCTATTTGAGGCAGACCGTGACAAACAATATGTTGCATAGCTAGAAAAGTAAGTGACATTGAAGTTTCTTCAGTGCATTGACAGATTTATTTCTTCTATTGCTTCTTCCACTCTTTCTTTGTAGGGGGAGTCCAAAGTTTCAGAATACCTGAGAACGGCTTTTGATTTCAGAAACCTCCACAATACTTGATATTAATACTTTTCTACATACCTACCACTTCCATCATTTGAATTAGTGCTTTGCCACCTTCCAGTCAACAGAAAACCTTAATAACATGCTGCAGTCTGGCTGTATAGAAAACGTTTTTTCTCAAATTAATAGCAGTCAGTACAGAAAGAAGCTAGAATATACTCCAGGAGTCCTAATACCAGTAAAACAGCCTAACTGGGCCAAGAGAATTAACAGTTTTAAAAAGGGACCTACACTGAGGTATGAAGTAGGCTTCAGTAAGTTAAAGTAACTTTTGCCAGTTAGAAATAGATATTTTTAATAACTAGGAAATACTGTATGGGTTCACTACCCTTTTACACTGGATCACTGGAATAGGCCCAGAATGTTTTAATTATTCCATGATATATAAGGATGATATATAAAGGATGATTCACAGGAATTCTTCGAATGTGTATTTTCAGTATTCATTCCCCTCCCTCTGATCCTCATCCAGTACATTTCTATTCCTTAGACAGTAAACTGCTTGGGACGAGGATGGTGCCTAAAACAGTTGTAATAGTAGCCACAGACCAAAAAATTAACCACCCTTCTGGGGCCATGCAAAGTTAATTTTCTCATGCATATGGGAAATATGTAAAGGTGCTGTCCCAGAAGTCTCAGCAGCATTGTCTGGAAACACTTTAATAGAAATGTGCCTGTGAAAGCATACCGATGTTAGGAATGATATAATTCAACAGTGCAGAAGGATGGTAATTGGATCATAGTTCTACCACAGCAGTGCAATCTCCCTCTTACTGAACTGTTAAGTTGAGGAATTTTGAAAGATACAAAGCATGCTCCAATTTAAGACTTCCATATTCTGGGAAAATTTCTTTACTTCAATGGACTTGCCAGCAGGCACCACAATTAATATAGGGGAAAAAACACAATACAGAAATAGCTTTTGTAACTGTGCTTACAATTGCTGCGCTTACAGGAGCTTAATTTCTTGAATTACTTGTTTATGTATGTGCAGATCCTTCAGTGGAATAAATGAAGCGTTAAGTGCTGGAAGAGAAAATGGACAAGATGAAAACATAAACAAAGAGGACTATAGGGAGAGTACTACAATGCAAACTAACACAGCAGAAGAGATACCTCATGGAGATTTATGCATCACAGAGATACATAGTGAGTCTCACCAGGGAGCAGGAGAAAGGAACATGCACTTTTCTGAAACAAAACAAGAGACCACACAAAGCCAAAGAATTACTCCTAAAGTGACAGGCACCTCCAAAGTGCTCGTGACAGATGAGACTGCTCCCAGAGGGAAGACAGAAGAAAGAAGGCCAGGTACTATGGTTGAGCTGCAGTTGTCCCTCTCAAATGAGAAGCACAAAAGCGCCCATGCTCCTGCTGTGACTCTCTTAGAGGCAGAAAATCGCACCCTTTCAGGAAGAGAACCCAGTGTACAACAAGATGGGACTAGCCCTGTAATCACGATTCCCCTGGACATGAAGGAAGGCAACATCCAGTGGTCAAGCAAAGTTGTCCAGTTTTCTAATGGCAAAGAGATCAAGAGGATCCAGGGTACAGCGCCATCTCTACCCAGGGTGGAGGTGATCCTGGACTGTTCAAATAGGGAGAAGGAAGCACCCAGGTCTCCGGTTGAAAGGGGGTGTGTTAATTCTCAAGTGGAGGAAGGGCAGTCAGAAGCACCTCCTTCCCTCCTCTCCTCTGCAGTCTCATCAGAAGGCACAGAGCAGAGAGAAGACAACCAGCACTCAGAAAGGGATCACAGACCACTCAAGCACAGGGCAAGGCACGCAAGTAAGTATGTCTCATCTAATCATTTGCACTGCTTGAGGCTATCCTTTGTAACTTTAAATATAATTTCAGAATTTAGAATGCATTAGGAAAAATATGTTAAGAGGTGGGTTTTTTTCTGCAGTTTTCTAACATTTCCTCTCTATTTTTCTTCTAAATTATGTTTCTGTTCTTGCTTTACATATTTTTTTCAGGGTAATACTTTGCTCCTGGTGATGAGCCAAGAGTACACCCATGCCTTAACTGTGCTGAATAACTTTGCTTAGATGACTTTGTCCTATTAAAAATACTTGCATCCCCCAAAAAGACTGAATTCTGATGGTCTTCTAATGTATATTCAGAGGCAATCTGTAGAACATTAACAAAAAAGCACGTTGCTTGAACATGTCTAAGTGAATCCTGTGGATTTCTCCTTTTATAGAAAAAACTCTGTGTTGTCATTTGCATCATCTAAAATCAAAGCCATGCCACTGCTCTCAGAAGTTAATAAAAAAAGCTAGTAGAAAAGCTCGATATTGCCTGCAGAAGAGATTTTGACAGACATTAGCATGTGTGTAAGTGTTACATGATCCTTCCAGTTTTGTCAGTCCTCTCTAGACTGTAAAGTGAACATGCTATTTCTTCTGACTCCCATAGTCAGAGGTGAGCTTCAAAATGTGTCCAAGAAGTTTACATGCAACTAAATTTGCAACTGGATACAATATTCATTCACTGAGTGTAAATATGCATTATTTATTTATCTATTCATTTATTTACTATTTTATTCATTTGGAATCTTTCTATTGGCTGCTTGCTCTTTCCCAACAATGTTAAGAATCCTGCCTGGGGATTTAGCAGCAGTATGTCAAAGGTGCTTGAATGTGTGCAGTGATATACTGTAGCAACAAGCTATTTCATATGCAGTGTTGGAACTAGTCTGCTAACCCCCTGTTAATTCCTCTGTAAGCATATTTTTAGCATGATAAGCATTTGTATCTTATTGGCAAGTGGATTAAACAGTTACTTTTGCCTAAGTGTCTGTATGCAATCCACTATCTCTAGCATATTGAATGAAGCACAAAGAAATGTGCACATGCTTTACATTTTGGCTGTGAAGTTAGAACCAGCTGTGGGACTATGCCTGTCTTCTTTAGAGAATTACTTGCCTGCCTTCTGCAGGCAAAAGTACAAGGAATGAATTACATATTACACTATAGACTCGTCTTTCAAGTAGGATATACATTCTGTCCTCTTCTCACCTCATCTATGACAATCTCAACTCCTTCTTATCTAGTGGCAGGACATTATCTTTAGGAACCATTGATGTAACCTATGAAAGTGTTTGCTTTTGGTATTATTATTACTTGTAAAATACTGTCTACACATTAGAGCAAACAAATTCCCAAGCATAAGGGAATAACCTGTGTGCCGCAAACAGTATGTGTGGATTTTCTTAAATTAAAAACTACAATGCAGCAGTTAAGTCTAAACTAGAGAAGAACATTTATTACAGGTGCTTGATCTCTTCAAAATATTTTTTTGCTGTAACCAGTCATCAGATTATATTTACCTGAATAGGTAACATTTCTTCTGCCACCTTTTGAAACTACTGATTAAGTAACTATCCAGATGAATTAAGGAAAAATACATTAACAAAATGGAAAGTTTTGCCTTTTGCAGAACTGTATCGGTACCTGATTAATCCGCTTCCCAGAATAACACTCACTGCTGATACAAGGACGTTATTTGAAAGCACAGAACTTTCATGCTTTCGGTTTGCAGAGGCACTCTTAACACTAAAACCTGTACTTTTGGAAAATGTCCTCAGTGACTACTGTAAGCATTTGGATCACCCAAGGACTGAGCCAAGGATTTTGTGATTTGGCTCTCTCACTATAAAATACTATAAACTGCTGGTTTGGGTGCCATGCTCTTTTCTCTTTTATAGGTTCTTGTGAGAACCACTGGTCCAGCCATGCTGTCATCTGGCATAATGGCGAAACTTCAGTTGTCTTTAATAGGAGAAGTATCAGTCTCCATCTATTGACATGGCTAAAATGAGCATTGATAGAAAATCCATCACATGGCTTTCTTTACTGAGTTTGCTTTATTTATGCCTGCAAAGGATATTAAATGATTTACTGTTCTATTTTCATATATCACAGGCACGCTTTTTTTTTTGTGTGTGTGTAAATTAAGTGGAAGGTGATCATTTATTTAGACAGCTTCAACTTCTAGTTCTTTTAAAGGGAGAAGCTATTGAGGCTGTCACTCATGAGATATGGTGGTAGAAGATAAGGAAAGGAAGGCAACAGGGACACCACGTGACTAGCATTGCCCCGTGAGGAACATGCCCCATGTCACATAATGAGGAAGGAGTCATGCTGATGTACAGTACATCTATCAGCTTTACAGCTGCATCTATTCCCATGCCACAACTTGATGAAAACAGATAGTTTATGCTTTAAGAAATACATATTACTGATATATGCTAGTAAATAATCTCAAGAAGTTAGTTGAACCCCCTTCATTCAGATCTTAGATGTGTATTTATTCCTGCCACATTTTCAAAATAAATATTCTGAAGTTATATCCTATGCGATTTTGTATTATGTTTCCGGTCAGTAATGCCTGTTAAAACACTGAAACCTGCTTTCACTGAGTACCATGGCCAAACTCCCATGTCTTCCAAGAGGCTGAAAGTTAATGCTAATAGTTTCTATGTATGCCTTTGTGGATATTTACTTGCTTTTAACCAGCTATTACAGAGAATCATACCAACTTTTAGCAACTATACACATTCTGTAATTCATATGAGTATGTGTTCATATGAACACATAAATGGCAGTTAGTCTCATTTGGTCTCAGATGTTGAGCAGTCATGAGCCTGGCTGGCTGGGAATGTCCACTGTAAGCCTAGGAAGTGTGGTCAAACATTTGGTAAATGCCAGACCACAGAAACTGAATAAATGAAAAAATACTGTCTGCCTGTTGCTGCTGAGATTACTTAGGGGAATAAAAATCAAGGATGCCAGAAACAAAGACACAGGTAATGTTCCTGTTGAACTAAGAAAGTCTTAAAGAAAGCAATGTGGCCTTTGAACTTGCATGGGTGTGACTCTAACAAATGCTAGATATAGAATTTACAACACAGTTGATGTTGTGGGAAAGGCTTAGGTATAATCACCTTGCTATATAAAAGAAAATAAATGTTTTAATATGGCAAAAGCTGCAGTGGGTAAATTTTGGTATAGATAATTGCAGAACTATTTGTTGTTAGTCTCCTTGTATTTTTGTGGGCTCCATGCAATTAATGTGCATTTTGACTCCTTCCACAGGGCTCCGGCGAAGTGAGAGTCTTTCAGAGAAGCAGGTCAAAGAAGCCAAATCTAAATGTAAAAGTATTGCACTGCTGCTGACAGCAGCACCCAATCCCAATTCTAAGGGGGTGCTGATGTTCAAGAAGCGTCGTCAAAGGGCGAGGAAATATACTTTAGTCAGCTACGGTACTGGGGAGTTAGAACGTGACGAAGACAAGGGTGAAGAAGGGGAAGGTGAAGAGGGGGACAAAGAAAACACTTTTGAAGTGAGTTTGCTTGCAACAAGTGAGTCAGAAATAGATGAAGATTTCTTCTCTGACATTGACAACGACGGTAAGATTGTGACATTTGACTGGGACAGTGGTCTACTTGAGGTTGAGAAGAAGATAAAAAGTGGAGACAAGATGCAGACACTTCCAGAGAGCACAGGTAAAGGGGCCCTCATGTTTGCCAAGAGGCGTCAGAGAATGGATCAGATTACAGCTGAGCAGGAGGAGATGAAAGTACGCACAGTGCATACAGAGGAACGAAGAGAAGCAATGTCAGAGAACTTCCAGAAACTAAGTTCTACAGTCTATCAAACAAAAGAGGAAGAAATGTCAAGACAGCAGACCTGCGTGAGCAAAAGCCACACAGACATGAGCCAGAATCATAGCAAAATGCTACAACAAAATGGCTTTGGCTTAGCACCAGACACAAACCTCTCTTTTCAGTCCTCTGACACTCAAAGAGCAGCTTCTTTGAATAAAACAGCGAAACCCTTCCCTTCTGTAGTTCAAAACCGAGCAGCTGCACCATTTTCACCCACAAGAAACATTACTAGTCCTCTTTCAGATACACCAGCACCACCTCCTTACTGCTCTGTTAGCCCACCATCTGAGGCTTTATACAGACCTGTTTCAGCTCCTGTAGCCAGCAGAGCTGCCCCATCTGTGTGGTCACCCAGCGAGCCAACAGAACACATAGCATCCCGAGATGAAAGAATTGCGGTACCAGCCAAAAGAACTGGGATACTGCAAGAGGCAAAGAGGAGAAGCACTTCAAAACCTATGTTCACTTTCAAAGAAGCACCCAAAGTAAGTCCTAATCCTGCCCTGTTGTCCCTTGTACACAATGCAGAGGGCAAAAAAACTACTGGGGCTGGTTTTGAGTCAGGACCTGAAGAAGACTACCTCAGTCTGGGAGCAGAAGCTTGCAATTTCATGCAGACTCAAGCGTCTAAACAAAAGGCCCCTCCTCCTGTTGCTCCAAAGCCTTCAGTCAAGATCTCTCCTACTGCTGGTACTCCAGTTTGGTCACCTCCAGCTGTGGCTTCCAGTAAGGCTCCTTCTTTCCCAGCACCAGCCTCCCCTCAGGCAGCATATCCTGCACCACTCAAATCTCCACAGTATCCTCATTCTCCTGCCCATCCTCCAGGTACTCTCAACCTAACTGGTCCTTTCAAAGGGCCTCAGGCAATCCTAGTGAGTCCAAACCATACACCCAAGACAACCACACCAGTCACATCAAGTGCTGGAGAAAGAAAGCCACCCTTTGAGATGCCACCAGCTATGAGTGGAAAAGGAGCACAGTTATTTGCCAGAAGGCACTCTCGAATGGAGAAGTATGTGGTAGATTCAGAGACTGTCCAGGCAAACATGGCACGAGCCTCATCTCCAACTCCATCTTTACCAGCTTCTTGGAAATACTCATCTAATGTCCGAGCACCTCCACCTGTTGCTTATAATCCCATCCACAGCCCGTCTTATCCTCCTGGTGCTACCAAGCCTTCCTCCAAGTCCACTGCTGCTACCAAAACTACAAGAAGAAAACCTAAGAAAGGTCTCAATGCTTTGGATATTATGAAACATCAACCTTATCAACTTGATGCATCTTTATTTACTTTTCAGCCTCCTAGTACTAAGGAAAACCTTGCTACTAAGCAGACATCGAAGTTGTCCACTTCAAAGCAAGCTCTATCTTTAGGACTGCCTAGTGCTGGCTCTCCTACTAATGCCCGGGCATCTTCAGTGTACTCCGTGCCAGCCTACGTTTCACAGCCTTTGTTCCAGTCAGATGCCCCTACCCCAGTAAATGAATCATATGCACCTACGAGCTACTACTCTACATTTTCTAAGCCAGAAAGCACCACATCCTCTTTGTTTACTGCTCCAAGGCCAAAATTTTCAGCAAAGAAAGCTGGTGTCACTGCACAGGTGTGGAAGCCATCCATTATTGAAGAGTAGCCCTTATAGCTGAAACTTAGTGTCCGTTTTGCTTACAATCAATTGTTTGCAGTGTTAACCTGGCACACAAACCATGCCAATAGTATTCCTTAGCTTCCTTAATAATGTCAGATATATCACCTTAAATCTGGGTCCAAAATATTTGAACTTTTTAAAGGAATTAAAATACATACAAACTTTAGCACTTTCATGCATATTATCAGATGCTTTAGATACAGAACATCCTGAAATGAACAGATACCATTGTACTAAGTAAGCAGGACACTAGGTTTTTGCTTTAGGACTCCTACATCAGAAATAACAGTAAACAATATTCCTGGTATGTCAAATTAATAGAGAAGAGCTTTCTTTCTGTCTTTCTGCCTCCCCTCCCCAACTATGTTCTAATGACCTAGGGATTTGAGGACTTCTTTATTTTTGAAGTGCCTTATTAAATAATATTAATAGTAACACATATTCCTAACATAGCATAAAATAGATACAGTGTTAGACTCTGACTGATCAGTAATGGAATACAACTGGATAGACCTTTGACCTGCACAGAGCACCACAGAATTAAGTCAGAATCTGTCTTGGCTCAAAGGTCCTTCCACAGGAATCTGGTAGTCCACCAGGGGCTTAGTTTGCAAGCTATGCGGATCAGCTGTGATCCAAAATCATGAACTGCCTCTGTCATTTCACAGAGAATGTCCTATATGAGATGGCGGAGTGTTCTGAAGGCTTTAAAAGAGGCAGAATGACTGTTGGAAAAATTGTTAAAGATTTCCCATTTTGGGAAAATCTTTATTTTTTGGGGATTCCTGACATCCCAAGTGCAGACGTGTTTTTAGCCAAAGTTTGCCTTCAATCCAGCAAGTAAGATAAAAGCCAGTAAACCAAAATTATTGAACAGTCGGAGAGATGAGCTGGAATTTCCAGCTGCAATGTAACGCAATAGCTTCTTGTGAAAGCAAAGTGACTGAGAACTGAAGGGATACATATAGTCAAGGGTACTGATTCTTGCAACCAGAGTAGTATATGCCATAGAAATTAGCACTTAACTGTAAATCATAACTATGATCATGTGTCCTCTCATACACATTTTATTATTTTCACTTGAAGTTTTACAGTGCTTCTTCACACTTTAAATCTTTTTACTCTGGTTTTATACTTTCACCTATTACTTGTCATATTGGAGACTAAGGATTGAAATACTGCTACCGTAGAAAATTATTAAGTCTGTGGTCTTAAAACCTACTGTGTAATACTGCAGTGAGTAAACAGTCTTGCTGAAATCAAGGAGCTATATTTGAGTAGTTTAGCATGTTTTTCCAGTAAGTAGTCCTGTTACCATCAGTGGTGCTAGGTCTGAAACAAGATTTTGTTTCATACAACTAAGGGTATCAAAATTCATCCCAAGTGTGAAGCTAAAGATTTTAAAGCACCACTGTGTGAATAAAAGTGGCAGCACCTGTTGATAATATTTGTTTAAACTACTAGTAAGGTAGATACAGACCAGATTGTGGACGTTCTATATCATAAGGTTTTAGTAGAACTATCTGTCTTGATACATTCCCCAGTATGAACAGTATCTCCTTATTTTGGTAACTCAAACTGCAGTCACAGTTGAGAAGCATTTGGTTGTACATGCAGAAAGCAGACTGGAATCAAAGTCTAATCAAGCCAATAAAAATCACTCCTTTCAATTCTGGACCTCCAAAAACCTACTCTCCCCTTTACATTTTGGATTGGGATAGTGATTGCATTAGAAAATGACCAACTGATCCATCTCCCTTTTAAAATTCAAGAGAATTACAGGAAATTGTTTGGGGAAAAAATACTTTGAAAACTCCAAGAAAGTATTACACTGCATTTACCTGGAAACAGAAAGCAAAATTTTAATCCTTTGGAGATCTCCCTTCTATCTCTTTTCCACGTCAGTATCTGTATTTTTCCTCTACCATTAAACTTGTCCATTTCCTCTCTTCCTGTTTGGCTTTATTTTCTTTGGTTTGGTTGATATTTTTTGTTTCATGTACAGGCTGACAGTACAGGAAATCTATTTTCTATGCTATCCTCTTAATATGAAATCTCTTCCTCCCTTTCTCTTTATATTTCCCTTTCCCCTTCCCTTTCCTCACTCCTTTCTTCTCCTCAGTAAAAGATATCTGAACTTGCATACACTATTTTAGGTAGAAGTTTAAGATACTAGTATCTACTTAGAATAAAGATACCCTACCAAAGATAGGTCATGTTGCTAGAGAGACAGACAGTCATCCAATCAGCCACATATTGCCTTATATGGTTTTACTCACAGTCTTCTCCATAAAATACATCTGTAAATTATAATCACACTTCTGTACTTGATCACCCTACCACCACAAGAATACTTCCTCAATGAGGAAATTTTTAGCAGTTTTGTACTTCCACCACAAGCGTTGATGTTCATGCATGTAGCTATTAAGACACAGCAGCTCACATAGCATGGCCACCAGTTCCTATTAGGCTCAAGTCAGTAATTTCTGGAATTCATCACCCGCGACCAAGTATCCTGTGTGAAAGGTGGGGATTAGGGAAATCTAACTTCTAGCATATATATGCATATATGGCATACCATTTTGCAAGTAAGAAATAATAAGTGTTATTATTCTAATTACCAGCAGAAGAAACAAGAGGTAAAGCTGAGACATATTCTCATGCAAAGGAAATCAGCTGTCCAGAAAGACAGAAGTCAAGTAACAGGAGTTAGATGACAGCTGTGGACTGAAACAGAAACTTTCTGTTCCCTGAGTCATCAGTCTAGAACTAAATTCATCTGAAAGACAGAAATGCATAGTTGTCATCTTTAAAATCATTTTCCTATTTCATTAATTTTCAGCACAACCCAAAAGTTCACTTAGAAAGTCTACTAAATCACACGCATGTTTACAGCAACAAGAAGTCAGCTTCTATAACAGCAGTATAAAATATAGCTACTAGCCTATCTTCTTTTTACTTTGCCCAAAAGAAAAGGAAGTGAATCTATGCTGAAAATTTGTATTTTGATCACATTTGGAGTTTTTGCTGCTATTTAAATACAAGTATTTCATATGAACTACGGCAATGACAGGATTTTTTTAAGCACCAGTAAGAGTTAAAAGCAAAAGCCACATTGACACTAGTAATCTTAACTCAGCTAATATCTTTTGAAAATCCCATTCAAATTCCAACTCTGAATTCAATTTCATATATACACATCCTTCTACACACATGCTGCTTGGATCCAAGTTGGCTTCAAGACTCCTTTTACTAATCAGGTAAGTGTGTAATTCTCAAGAATACTTCAGAAAACTAGCCTACTTAAAGTAACAGTTTTATCCAAAATGCAGTCTCTTGTGAAGCAGACACTTAGAGGAAAGTTGAGCTGTTTGTTGTCACAGATTCAAATTAAAACCTAACCATGGTGTCAAACATAGTTGAAATGTCAAGAAAATGAATGGTTTGTATAGAGAGGAGCCACCTGAAATTTCACTTTGAAAAGGCAGTGAGCTTTAGTAAATGGTTTTCTGAAAAAGCTATTTGAATTATTTTACATAATACAAGGTTACCAAGATCCAGTTGTTATGTTCACTATGTAAGCATATGTAACAGTGATTTTAGGCCACTCATTATAACAATACTTATAGTATGTTCATATTAAAAGAGGCATTTAAACGGTTTATGTTGGTTATAGCACATTTAGTTATAGCACATGCCAGAGGTATTATACTGCACCAGTTTGGGTCTCACAATCCAGACAGAGTTTTCATGAAAACAGCTACATCAGTCAAGAGTCTATATACTTTCAATTTCTGACTCAGTTATAAACGTCTTGTTATAAAACTCAATTGAAAAGTTTTGTTTTGGAGATGACTAGTTATTAGGCAAAAAGCTAAAACTCCCATTGCAAAAAAAAAACAAAAATTTAGTTCTTCAACAGAGAACTGCTTAACTTCTCCCCCAATTTTCTAGGGTAACCACTCTTACCATGTTCCTGCATTAGAACAATTAGAAAGATATTTCAATTATTATTACTTTCTGTAGGAACATTTATTGAATAAATATTACCATCTCATACAAGTAAACCTCATTCGTTTGCTCTTTGTTCTCTTATGGAAGAAACAATTTTGCCTGTGTCCTAAGATATGTGACCATATCCAGTGACAATAAGCTGCTTGGTTCCAAAAGTACCTGGCCAATGGCACGGGACTTCATAATACACTCATATCGAGACTTGCAGCAGGGAATGCCCACTTCTCTTGTAGACACACTGACAATTCATTCTGAGATCAATGCCATTTTGAGATCAGCCACTAAGAGGAGGTTTCAGTTCAGTTTTGTCAGAAGTATTCCTGCACTGATCCTAATTTTATATACCTACTTCTATTTTATTTTTGTATGCCTAATTTTACTTTATATGAGATATTCAGGAGTCAAGACACAAAATCAGCCCTAAAACTGTAGTGACCCATTTTGCTGTCACCACATCAATCATGTGGCAATGAATTTATTTTCTGTCAGTGTGCTGTCATTATTCACACTAAAATGAATGTTCAGAATTCAAACAAATCTCTATGTATTTGTAGTAAAGAAATACTAAGATATCTAAGGTATCAGCAGGCTCCAAATCTTAGGAAGTGGGGAGCTGGTGTGTGGTTCAGGTAGGAAAATTAGGGCTAAGGCGCAGAGCAGCAATTACGAGAGAAAACACTACTAGGATTAGAGGGAGCCAAGCACTGGGGAGGAAAATCCAGAAAAACAGCAGAGTCTGTTAATCATATTCCTCATTAACAGAGGTTCATGAAATACTCAAGGTGAAAGAAAAGGGCTTAATTATTCTGCACAGAGAAGGCTATTTCCAGCCTTTTGTTGAAGTTTTCTAGATTATTCTTGGATGACAGACTGCTCACATCACTGGGCATGATTTTTTTTTCCACTACTATTTACAAAGAGATACTTTGAAAGAACCAAAA